TGTACGTCTTCTTCATTTCGCGCATGACCTTGTCGAAGCGCTTCCACAACTTCTTCCCGTCGGTGAACAGGACCGGCGCTGCAGGGCAAGTCAAACAACAGTGGAACAGCAGTAGCACTTCACTGTCAGCAGCAGTACAGGACTTTCCATCCCCTACAGCACTAAAGCAGACATGACATGAGCACGTTAACCGAACCGTTTGTTTCCTGATGCAACATGAGACTTTTTGTGTCGGTAACATTTCCTGGTTACACCGACTTTGCAGGAGGATGCACATCGCTGTCATGTCGTCATTTTATAACCGATTGCTGCCCAAAGCCGGGCGTGCTTTATCACCCCAGACTATGTCACCAAACTACACGCTACACACAGCCTAGTTACTTCTGGTGGAGGGCTTTGTGGGTGCTGCCTACTTGATGGATCACGACTCTGTCAAGGCAGCGCACCGTGATGGCCTGTCTGCCCTGTCAACACACGTGACAACTTTGAAAATATGTATTTGCGCTGAGCGGACCAAACACAAACACCCTGCATCCGGCGTTACGCATATCGTGTTGAACAGCAGACCATAGCGGCGCAGAGGGTCGGATACGCATTCGAAACCTGCCTCTCTCTGTCGCGGCGGTCGGTTGTGTCTCACGGTGTGTCGCGAAGCGTTTGTTTTCTTACCTCCGTTCAGACTTGTTCTGCCCATGACCTCGAACGTCAGCCACGCCTGCTTGATCACTATGCCGTTTTCCTTGAGCCACTTGAAGAATCCTGGGACAGCGATGTCCTTGTAGCCCTTGGCCGCTGCCTTGTACTTAGCCTCCGTGGAGACGATCCCGGCGTTCCGCTTGACCGCCAAGCAAGCGTACACGATGCACACGTTCTGGAGGTGCTTGAGAAGCTTGATCTGCGAGAGGCCCTTGCCGCCCAGGAGCAACTCCAACGTGCCCTCGACATACCCGTTGAACTCCAGCGGGAGAGGTTGAACGTTGTCTAGTTTCATGACATCCATGGTATGCGGTGGCTCGTGGTGTGTGTGCGGTGTGGATACGCGTGGTGTGCTGATGTAGCTTGTGCGCTTGTGCGAGAGAGAAGCGGCGCGAACTGCAAGAATTCAAAAATCGTTCGCGCGCGCTGGCGCGCGCACGCAAACGCCTCCGAGAATAATCGAACACCTCGTTTTTGGAAAAAGACAGCGTAACAAGTGGGTTGTCGTTTTTCCATATCTTTTTTTGGGCTGTCCCTTTTTGAGAAAAGGGACAGCCCAAAAAGAGACAGCGTAACAAGTGGCCTTAGTGGCCTTACTGTTTCCTTTTATTTTCTTCTCTTTTTCTCTTTTTCTCTCTTTTTCTGCGCCAAATGGCCTTGTCTCTGCTTGCGTTGTGAAGCACCAAGATTGAACCAAGGGGGTGCATCTCATTCTCTCCGGCCCGTGATGGTGACTCCTAGTCTCAGTTGTTACCTCGCATAGCGGGCAGAGGGAGTGGAGGACTCCAGAATATCTGTCGTCGATTTCTATTGACTTGCGGACCCCTCGGGGCCATTTTATTTGAGTGTACCTTTTGAGGGTAAGTTGGCCTGCGACCACGGGAATCGACCGCGTCGAGTGTTGGATCAGTACGGACATACGAAGGTACTGGGTAGAGAGAGATCTGTGAAGACAACAACAACAACAACAACAACAACAACAACAACAACAACAACAACAACAACAACAACAACGTGCTTACCTACCTACGTGGCGACCGTGCTTCTCTAGAGTAAGGATTGTGGTAAGAATGCGCATGGCCTACTGGCATAGATAATATTCGTGTCGCCCCCTCTTGTTCGGTTTAACAGGCGAAACCTGTCTGCCAATACGTACAGAGTAGTGGATGTAAAGCATACAGCAAGCAGTGTGCAGTGCGCACAGCGCAGCAGTTGCAAACGAAAACGCAACTTGACGGCATGGGCTCTTCAATGGTTCAAGAAAAGCGGCCTCAGCGTGTGATTCGCACCTTGATCGGAAAGTCGCAGTAGAAGCAGCGCCGTCGGCAGAATGGAAGGTTTACGTAAACAGAGGACGGTGGCAGCGGCGGTCGGGCTAGAGCTTGCGTATCCAATGTCATGGCGGACATGGTTACGCGTGCCGTAGATGCTGCCGATGCTGCCGGTGCTGCTGTTGGCGCGAGGAAAGACCAGCCCCAACAAACGCTTCTCTTAAGCGACATTACGGCCGTAAACAAGAGCCACGTTCGAGGCATGACAATCGCCTAGCTCGTGCACGCGAAGAGAGACGCAGAACCTTGCAGCCCAGCATTGGTTTGAATCCACCTTTGAAGCAGCAACAACAACTGCAGCGCAGGTTTCATGTTTGGTACACCGTGGGGAGATGATGCTAGAATTGAACTGCCGGAGCCCCCGCGAAAGAACCGGCCGGAAAATTTGCACCTGTTGACCTGTACAGCAGACGAACGGGAGCATGGCGCCTGTAAGAAACGCCTCCTGAACCCCACTCTACAGAACCACGTCCCGTTTTTGAGGACGCGACTATTTGCAATCCATGGATTGAAAAAGAGAACCACAGCAGTCTCCCTTCTTCCCCTCGCTCCCCGACACGCTTTTGCTTAGACATGGGTTGTAGCGAAGGGGGGGGTCTTTCTGGCGAGCAGGGCTAGACTCACCCTCAAGGGATGACCGAAACCTTCTTGCTGCTACGCATCCGCCGCGAGGCGTGCGTGTGGTGGTGGAGTTGGGTCGGCACTGATGGGGTCAGGCGGGAAAATGTAGATGGCGGGCCTTTCTGGCCGTCGGCGTAGGCAGTGATGCCCATCTCATTTTTGTGCGCGGAGGCAGACACCATCAGAAAGGTGGACGGGCACTACACGGCCCTAGGTTTGCTAGAGGGAGCTGTATTGCCTCAGTAACCTGGCTTCGCCATCAAAGGAGGAGGGAGCAGGTGGCGACGAGCTGAACTAGGCTGGTTGACCATTCGGCGCGAGAATTTTTATTTTTTTCAGACCAAGAACCTTGAGTGCAATGAGGGAGAAAGCGAGGAACGGACTGGGAAGGACAGCAACGAGAGCGTGTACGGACGGAGCAGGTCGAGTGGCGTTTTGCTCGGGCTGACTACAGCGGCGCCGGATGGAGCAATGGCACCGGAGCATGCGGGCGACATCGACCCGTGGCGCACGGACAAACATTTCTATCTGTGTTGTCAATTTTTTTCGTTTTTTTTCTGACTTTTCGTGTTGGTTTTGTGTGATGACATCGTCACCGGTTTTGGAGACCCGTCAGAGATGGCGTGGCTAACCCGGGTGCATCGGTTTTGTGCCTGATCGTGGAAGACCCCTTCAATG